CTGATATCCAATCTAAACCTCCACAGTTACATAATCACAGTTGGAATGTGGGGCTTTTGTCCCTGCTGTAATTATTCCTAGGCCAGATCAGAAACATCAGACGCCCAACAGGTGAAGTTTTTAGATGAAAACACCCAACAGTTCCTCCTTTCTCTGAGGACTACATACTTTCCCTATCTAATCAGGAGCACGAGGCAGGGAGGTGCTGACACAAGCAGGAATAGCCGATGGATGACTTCATCAGCGGGGCAGCAGCTCCCCTCCGAAGCATGAGCAATTCACCGCAAGAGTTGCTGTGTTTGGGTTTTAATCCTGCCCTTCTGCAGGGACCTGCAGTCGCCTGTCCCAGACTCACGCCAAGCCGAGGCAGAGCACGGAGTGCACCTCCCAGTACTCCCCGACAAACCACAGCTACCGCCCTTGCAACCAGAGCAGCCATAAAGCCAACAGCGCCGTAGGCACCGGCGTTTCTTGCCGTTGGTAGCTGTCAGCAGCTGTGACCCGAGACCTTGTGGCAGCTGACCCACCACGGCTGAACCTTAATGTCGTGTTCATTGTGAACTGCGGGAACGGCTTCTGAGGAGCTGCAGCCAATCGTTTCAATCATTTCAATCATTTCCCCAACGGACAGACTGTCCATTCCTACGTGGGAGATGGCGACCGGCAGAGCTGCAGCAAAACTAGTCTAAGGCCTGAAGCAGGTGGGAAAGCAACCCCCTACGATGCAGGTGCTGTTTCTCCACACTCTTTGAAAACAGCCTCCACAAAAAGTTCTGTAATGTTTGCACGGCTGCAGAGTTTTTCCAGCTGCGCGTTGTGCAGTGACTGTGACGTGTTCTTCAAGGCCAGGCTGGACGGGGCTTTGAGCAACCTGGTCTAGTGGAAGGTGTCCCTGCCCATGGCAGGGGGGTTGGAACTGGATGGTCTTTAAGGTCCCTTCCAACCCAAACCATTCTGTGATTCCGTGTTCTACTGTGACAGTTCTCCAGATCGCAGCTAGAAATCATGTTACATAAAACACGTTAACCTCTCAGTTGCACAATTAAAGTGTCAAGGCTGCCTACCGCCCACACCCCATCACGTCGACTCAAAGGTGCCGAAGCTACCACTGAAGGCGGAGAGCGGTGTGGCTGCCTACACCTGCCACGCTGGCCGAGCTCAAGGCCCCAGCTGCCAAGAGCCCTCGGCACCCCTCAGCCCAGCCGGAGCTCCCAGCACCCATGGCTGCACGGCCTCCACGCGGGGCAGATCTGGCCGCTGCTGGTTCTGCTTCTGCCACTGGACCGCGC